GGCTGGAGGACGGCCTAAAGACACTGCAAAAAAGAAAACCATCCCACGGATTGTGGCACCAAAAGACGCATAAACTACATTTCACAATTTTTGCGTAAAACACTTATTGAGGCGTTTCCTTTATTGAAGATAAATGTCTTTCTTCCTTCAGTGGAACTGTAGAGGCCTCCTGTCTAACTACGATGATGTGAGCGATCTTTTAGAGGATCACCGGCCCATTGCATGTTGCTTACAGGAAACGCACCTAAAAACCACCCACACCAATGTTTTAAAACACTTCCAGGTGTTTCGTAGGGACCGTACACATGCAGCTCACGCAGCTGGAGGTGTTGCGGTGGTTGTCCAACGTTCAATTCCTTCTAACGAGGTAGCCCTGCAGACTTCACTTGAGGCGGTGGCTACACGTATTTTGTTAGATCGAATATTTACAGTCTGTTCATTGTATGTACCTCCCAATTATCAGTTACATATGGAGGAGCAAGAAGACCTTGTTAATCAACTTCCTTCACCTTTTTTACTTTTAGGAGATTTTAATGCACACAATCCCCTGTGGGGTAGTGACAGACGGGATTCTAGAGGAGCCCTTGTTGAACGTTTTTTGCTTTCTGCGGGATTGTGCCTGCTGAACACAAATGAATCTACATATTTTAGCTCAGCAACTCACACTTTCACTTCCATTGACCTATCTATTTGTCACCCATCATTATTCCCATTGCTTTCATGGAAGGTCATACCGAATCCTTATGGAAGTGACCACTTTCTCATCATCTTAGAATTTAACCATCTTCCCATGACAGTCCCAACACGCTGTCCTCGTTGGAAATTCGAAAATGCCAACTGGCCTACCTTTAAAGAATCATCTCTTTTTGCATGCACATCACTTGACGATCTTGATATCAATAAAGCCACTCAACATATCACTCAGCACATTTTACAAGCTGCCATTCTCTCCATCCCCATGACGTCCTCGCATCTGCCCAGGAGACCAAAGCCCTGGTGGAACAAAGATTGCCGTTTGGCCAAAAAAGAACAAAATCGAGCGTGGGGTATATTTAGGCGCTACCCTACAACACACAATCTTATTGAATTTAAGAGAAAAAGGTCCCAGGCGAGGTGGATTAGAAGGCATGCTAAGAAAAAACGTTTTAGAGGGTACGCTTCTTCAATTAACAGCTCTGTATCTGCAAAGGAAGTCTGGGATCGCGTACATAAAATTGACGGCTCTTACCGGGCATTCACTGTCCCACTCTTGAGTCGGAATGGAGTTTGTTCTGCAAGCCTTGAGGAACAGGCCAACATCCTCGGTGAACACTTCGAGTATGTCTCCAGTTCGGAACATTACACCTTAACGTTCCAGCGATACAAGATCAATGCAGAAAAAAAAGCTGTTATCACATCAGGTGGCACGCACGAACCCTACAACACTCTATTTACATTAGACGAACTTCAAATGGCACTTCTTGGTTCCAAACAAACTGCCCCTGGACCAGATGGTATTCATTATCAAATGCTCGAACATCTTCATCCATCCACTATGGAGATAATTTTGTACCTTTTTAATAGAATTTGGCTCGAGGGCCACTTTCCGTCCTCCTGGAAGACCGCTGTGGTTGTACCAGTGCTTAAGCCCGGCAAAGATCCCTCTTGTGCATCTAGCTACAGACCAATAGCTCTAACTAGCTGTCTTTCCAAGACATTAGAAAGGATGATTAATAAGAGACTCATGTTTTTTCTAGAACGAAACAGCTGCCTTGATAAGTTCCAGTGTGGCTTTCGGTCAGCACGGTCCACTGTCGATCATCTCGTCCGCTTTGAGACCTTCGTACGTGAGGCGTTTGTCAACAGACAACAGTGTCTCTCCATCTTCTTTGATTTGGAAAAACATACGACACAGCCTGGCGTTACGGCATTCTGCAATATTTATTCGATCTTGGTTTCCGTGGCCGAATGTTGAGTGCCATACAGAGTTACCTGCAGCACCGTACGTTCCGCGTGAGGCTGGGAAAAACTCTCTCGAGGGAGTTTTTACAGGAGAATGGAGTCCCTCAGGGGGGTGTACTGAGTGTCACTCTTTTTATCGTCAAACTTAATTCCATTGGCCGTGTAATTCCTCCTTCGGTGCAATATTCCTTATATGTTGATGATCTCCAGATCTCCGTTTCATCCTGTAATCTCTCAATTTGTGAACGTCGCGTTCAACTTGCGGTCAATAATTTGGTCAGATGGGCCGATACGAATGGGTTTAAATTTTCTCCCGAAAAAACAGCTTGTGTCAACTTTTCTCGTCGACGTGGTGCTCTTCAGGAACCGTCTTTGAACATGTATGGTTCTCCTATTGTTGTAAAAAATGAGCACAAGTTTTTGGGCCTTGTGTTCGATTCCAAGTTGACTTTCGTTCCACACATTAAGAGATTAAAACTCAAGTGCCTTAAATCTCTAAACATCCTTAAGGTCTTGTCACATGCATCATGGGGCTCGGACCGACTGTGTCTGCTGCGTATCTATCACTCAGTCATTCGCTCCCAGCTTGATTATGGTTGTATTGTCTATAACTCTGCTCGGGCATCAGTTCTAAAGATGTTAGATCCTATTCATCATCAAGGACTGCGACTGGCTATTGGTGCATTTCATACCTCCCCAGTGCTTAGCCTTTACGCGGAAGCAAACGAATTGTCCCTTGAGTATAGGAGGTTTTCCCTGGGTTTTATGTACTCTGTCAGGGTTCGCTCGGTCGCGGAGCACCCCGTTCGAGATAATATTGAGACGATCAAGTTCCAACGCACATTTGAAAACAAACCTTCCACAGTCCCCCCTTTTTCTATGAGGAATAATACTGCAGCACAATCCGTTGGGATGGATGCAAAGCCTCAGTTGGTCCAATACCCTCCGGAAATAGCTCCATGGAACAACTGCCAGATACATTGCGACCTTACACTGACCAAGTATAACAAAAAGAATGTTCCACAGGAAGTCATAAGGCAGAACTTCTTTGAGCTTCAGACCAAATATCACAAGTATGCCAGTTTTTATACAGACGGGACAAAAAAAGACTCCGTAGTAGGCTGTGCTATGGTGGGACCATCGGTAAATCAGGTGAAGAGAATAAATTCAAAAGCCTCTATACTAACAGCAGAGCTTTATGGTTTGTTGTTAGCTGTTGATTACATAATCAAAAAACGCCTTTCTCACGCTGTAATCTACACCGACTCTTTAAGCTCTCTGAAGGCTGTCGCATCAATGAACCGTGTAAAAAACCCACTGGTTTCTGAGTTAAAGTACAAGATAATCCTGGCTGCAACGAAAAATTTTGACATAGTCTTATGCTGGGTTCCTAGCCATGTTGGCATTCCTGGAAATGAAGCAGCTGATAGTGCAGCCAGTTCTGCTAATGATAGAGAAATTGACACACACCAAATACCCTACAAAGATTACCACAATTATCTGAAACGTTGCATCAAAGCAAAGTGGCAGCTGCAGTGGAACGGCGAAACCGGCAACAAACTACATGCAATCAAACCTCTTCTAGGCGAGTGGGAGAGCGCCCGACATCGGGAGCGCTTTTACGAAGTCGTACTGTGTAGGCTACGAATCGGTCATACTCGTCTTACACATGGACACCTCTTGAGCGGGGAGGAGGCCCCTGAATGTGTGCACTGCAACCTACCTCTAAGTATTATGCACATACTCATTGAATGCCCTATGTATGACCAATGCCGGTATAAACACTACTCACTGCTTTATAAAGAACACATTCCACTACACCTTGCCTTACTACTAGGTGACGAACCGCTCATTCCATATAGTTGTGTTTTTAATTTCCTCACAGATATCGGCCTTCTACACCGACTGTGATTTTACTTTCTATCCTATACTCATTGTCATATTGTTTACACTTATACACATTCATGTTCATGGTTTTATCATACATTTCGCTACAATAGCTCTTTCCTCTTCTTAAACCCGAATTGCAATAGTATAAGCTTGGCGCAATATAGCCTTAGTTGCTGATGCGCCAAAAAACCCCAATCAATCAATCAATCAATCAATTTCGCTCAAACGCGAGTACAGAGCTTCCAAAGAAACACCTTCGACAATCATTCGTACGTATTTTATTAAGACCATAGATACCATCGGCCTTTCTTGCCCGGCACGTAGTTTTCGCAATGTCCAGAGAGTGGTGCAATAAACTCGTGCGTAAACTCGTGGTCCGTGTTGACGCACACTTGTCGAGAGAGTCTTCGCAGGTCTCTTCGGTACGCGAGAATGTCCTTCTCCAACTTGTCTCGCTGCACGTTGTCCGGGTCGAAAGACGCACTCAACTGGTCTCGAATGTTGCGCAGCATGTCGTTCCGGATCTCGCCTCGAATCCAGTCGAGATGCCCGTCAACGATGTCGTAGACACCGACGCCCACCTTTATGCAATAGAGAAGAATCTCGACGAGAATCCACTCGGTGGCCTTGGGCTTTCTCCAAAAGTGCAACACCAGCTCGCGCGTGTCTGCGTCCGACAGTCCGTGCAATCTTTCGTACAATTCCATGAGGTTTGAGACGATTGTCGGAGTAAAATATATGCCCAGCTTCTCCATGGCAATCTCCACTTCTCTAACGTAGGTGTCATATTCGTCCGAAGAGGGAGGTATCGGCGCAGTCATAAAGTTTTTCAACACTCCTGCGTCGAACTTGTCCCTTCCACCAGTCCACAGGTTGTATCTCGTTTGAAATTCTTCTACCGACGGTAGAGTATTGGCGTATTCAATCACGCACCATTCGAGTATAGTCTTGTCAGACAGTCCCCGCTTGTCCAGTGGAAGAGTAGCGACTCGTACTGGAGCCTGGTCGGCCGAAACGGGATCGCTGTTGACCGAAGCAGCTGGTGTAGGAGCAGTCTCGCACGTGCACGATTCGAGTATAGGCTTGTCGGACGGTCCCCGCTTGTCCGATGGAACAGTAGCGACTCGTGTTGGAGCCTGGTCGGTCGAAACGGGATCGCTGTTGACCGAAGCAGCTGGTGTAGGAGCAATAGTAGCGTCGCGAATCGTGCAATACCAGTAAGCGTAGCCCTGTCGGCTAGCCGTGTATCTGTGTTCGCGCAGATACGTGTGCAAACTGAGGATGTGCATTTTCATAGACGACCGTTCAAAAACGAGTTTATCTCGAGCAAAGATTTCTTCGTGTCTTTGAAGGTGGACGACTCGTCTTCGCAGACCTGGACCCAATGCGATAAATCGCTCCAAACGTCGGGTCTAAAATACCTACTGTCGAGCAATAGGACGGCCCCCCAGTCGTTCACGTGACGTACGCAGCGTCCCACGGACTGGTTAACCGCTCGCATCGCCTGCGTTTTATACCATTCGTCCCCGTCTCCGCCCCTGCTGCGGTTAAACTCGACCTTGACCTTTACGTCCGGACTGTGATACGACGGATAGGGTAACCCCACGGTTACGACGAGTCGAGCCAGCGAATCGGAGAAGTCGACGCCTTCGCTCATTTTGCCTCTGTGCACGACTAGAAACAGGGCCACCGTGCCGGGCTCTCCGTCAATCAACGCAGTCTTGTACCTATCGAACAAGAGGTCCGAGTTTTCAGAATCTTCCAGAAACAGATGCCCGCCGACCACCTTGACCAACTTGGGCCATAGAGGCACTTTGCGCCACACGTCTGGACAGGTCTGAAGTAGCTTGTAAGAAGGGAAGAAGCACAGGACGCCAGCCTTTGTTTCGCCGACATTTTTCTTCAGGATCTTGGTCGACTCGTAGACGACGGAACCTACGGCCTTGAGTAGCTCTTCGTTCTGGCATGCGCTGTAATTCATGTAAAACTCTTTGTCACCCTTGAGCGAATGCGAGATCCTACGGACAAAGACGTGACGCTTGGACACGACGTGTTCCTTGGCGGACACCTTGTGAGTAAAGAAGACGCCCAATTCCTTTTCGTACGACGACATCGGACTCAGAGTCCCCGAGGCCAGGACGATAGAGTGCGTGCACGACGACACAGACTTCATGGCGTAACTCGAGTCCATGCAGGTCATCCTGAGTTCTGGCGACTCGCGACCCTGGACGACAAACATTGCAAAGCCTTGGGCACCAAATATCTCGGGGTAGTAAAACTGAGTGACGATGCGGTCAATCAACGTGGTGTTTAACCGGTCGGACAAAGGATGTCGAGACGTTAAGGGACTCACGACTTGACCCAGGCTCACGTTGTCCGTCTTGAGGTAGCGTCTCGTCTTGGCCAGGAGATCATCGCCGCGAACAATCGCATATCCAACGTCGTTCATCATGGCCAGGAGCCCCTCGAAGAATTCGCGAAGCTCGACGTAGCGAGAAAATCGTCGTGCGTACGTCTGAAGCTGCGATCTGGACACTTGTAGGGACATGGCGTCTCTACAAAACGTTTCAATGTTGTGCGCCTCGTCGAGGATCAGAATCGCGCCGCTGAGATTGATGTTGAGCGTGCTACGGACGAAGGGATCGATCAAGTAGTTGTAGGGAGCCAGCACTATTTTCGACCTGGCTACGTAGTACTGTTCGTTGACGTAGTAGGGGCAGATATCGTTTGCAGCACAACTCTCCACCAAGTCCTCGATGTCCCTAACGTCGGGCAAACGCGTCTCTGGTCCATGCTGCTCTTTCCAATTGCGGTAGAATCGGCACGTCGACGAGGCCCTGTGTTGACTGCAGAGTTGGGGCACGTTACCGCTGTGGACTTCCCGTTCCAAGAGGCAGACTCGGTCCTTGCCGACGAGACGAGAAATGTGCGCGGCGTCTCCGATGAACGCCTTGGCCACCGCTACCATTTGGTCGAGCTGTTGGTGCGTTCTAGAGCAGAGGTAGATTTTGCCGCTGGGTCGTGTCGTTATCCATTCGCAAACGGCTCCGAGCATGGCCATTGTCTTGCCCGATCCGGTAGGAGCTTCTATCATGACGTTGGCTTTTTCTCCGAATCCGCGCAACATTGTTTCAAAGACGTCCACTTGTACGGGGTAAGGTATCCGGTCGCCCGGTAGTACGAGCCGGTAGCGGGGCGCCTCTTCCATACCCGCCAACGTTCGTTTTTGAAACGATTATACCGATCGTTCGTCTCGTCTTCGGAACTATAAATAGTCTGAGCGGAGTGGTTGACCTCGTCGTCCGTAATCTCTCCCTCCTCTTTTTCATCATCGCCATCGTTCCATTCGTCTAACACTATCCATTCTTCTTCTTCTTCTTCTTCTTCGACCTTGGTCATATCTACGTCGTTACTCATGCTTACGCGAGGAGATTGAGACGAAAACTCAACGTGCACGGTTTTTTTTAATTTTTATTGCCCAAACAAAGGATACCTACACAACCAGTCAAGGTAATCGCAAACTCTAAAGTACCTCGGATCTACGCTCTCGTACAGGCTCATAAAATCTCGATGCACTCTGGCGTTTTTCACGGTGCGTGGCTCGACGACGCTGCAAACGACTCGATCGGGAGGCATGTCAAGCAGGTAACTCAACTTGCGAACGCAGGCCACAAAGAAGGTGAGAGAGTCGGTCAGAGTCAGACACAGAATCTTGCTGGCCTCTTCGTAGCGAAAGGCGGTCGCGTTCGCGTACACTCGACCGCTTTCGAACGTGTAGTCGCAGATCACCGAACCGAGGGCGCTTGCGTCGTCGCGGTAGAGGCGAAAGTCGATGTATCGACAGGCCGTCTTGAGGTACCAGACTTCCGTCCGAACCAGTCTCATGTAGACGTACACGTTGAGTCTGTATCTGTTTTTCGTGCGGCTATGGAATCGATGCAGCACTGCGCCTACCGTCATGAAGGGGCGGCCGACGAGAAGGATCGTCGCCGCGTGCATAGTCTCCAAGGCGTAGAGAAAGTCGACAAAGACGCTGGAGTCGCCGGGATTTCGAAGTCCGGTCGCGATGGTGTTTGCCAGGTTGTCGTAGTATACGCGTAACATGATTGTAACGTCGATTTCAAATAAAAAACTGAAGTTTCCCGCTTATATCGTTAGAGGAGATGGATGGTGAGAATATGGCGCGCATAAAAAACGCCTCAAACAACGTGACCCGGCAAAAGAGGACGGTAGCCAAGAATAAGAAGAAGCAGCAATTGGACAGTCGACAGCCAACGACTGCCGTGGACGACGTTCTCTGTAAGAACGAATTGCGTCGATTGGCCAAGGAGATGGAGATCGATCGCATATCAGAGAACGTGTACGGTAACATGCAATTCGAGGTCGATAGATTCGTCACCGAGGTCGTCGGAAAGGCCGTCGTCTACGCCCAGATGCAACACCGCAAGACGCTTTTTGTAGATGACGTGACCCGAGCTCTTTCCGAATACAACATCAAAGATTACGGCTGTCGTCCAGGACTAATACAAAACACCTAACAATGTCTAATAAGAATAACGTTATACTCAAGAAGCCTCCTTCTCAGTTTGAAGAACGACTCGAAAAGTCGATGGACGACTATTTGCGAGTGCACATTAAAGACTTGTACGATAGAGCCGGGGCGCACACGGGGTACAGGACCGACAGAGAGATAATGAAAGCCGCGTACGATTACATCGTGGCCAAGTATCGCAACGTTATACTTGGTCTATTTAACGACGTGACCCGAATGAACGACGTGATTAACGAATACACCGCGTTTCTTCTTTACTTTAAGAGGTCCAACGAGCTCAAGGCCGAACACGAGAAGGTGGCCGTGCCAGCCTTAAAACACGTCATCGTCAGAATGTACAGAGATCAGAACAATCTACTCGGCAAGTTCCTGGCCACGGTGTACACGCGAGACAGACTGAAAGATGCCGGCGTCGAGGTGGTCATGAAGACCGAGGAAAAAAAGCTGTACGACGCCGACCTTCACGACGTAGACAGCCTGATCGAGACCTTTTACGACAACGGTCTGGACTATGTCGGCGTCGAGTCTTTAATTTCCAGCTACAACTCGAAGCTGAGGGGTGTCGGTACCAAGAGACGACTTTCGGACGACGCTAGACCGTCTCTTCGGGATAGCACGAACGAGTCGCCGTCGACTCCTCCTCCTCCTCCCCCTCCTCCTAAGGAAAGGACGCCCATGGAGAAGGAGTCGAGCGTCGCCCAAACATCAGCTCAGACTGCGGCGGAGGCGGCCAATAGACGGCGGTCGGACGACGCGATACCGTCTCATCGGGATTCGGCTCCTCCTAGGGAAACGACGCCCAAAGAGAAGGAGTCGGGCGTCGCCCAAACGTCCCCTCAGACTGCGGCGGAGGCGGCCAAGAGACGACGGTCGGACGACGCGATACCGTCTCTTCGAGATTCGGCTCTTCCTAAAGAAACGACGCGCAACGAAAAAGTGTCGGACGTCGCCAAGACGCCGTATCATACTGTTGCAGCGGAAGACGAAGGAAGCGGTTGGCTGTACGTCGTCGGTGGAGTTGCCGTCCTGGCCACAGCGGGAGTCGTGACTTACGCGGCAATGACCTATTATAGAAATAAACGCGCTAAAGGCGAAAACGTGTTTCTGTAGCTGAAATAAAAAAATGACCACCGACAATCTCTTGTTCAAACCTTTGAAAGCCATTCCGATAGGGTTTGAGGCAAGGTTGGAAAGTAGAGTCGACGACTACTTTAAAGATTTTTACTACGCGCTGTACTCTAACGCTGGTGTCGAAACTACCCGTTACAAAGACTACGGCGACACGGCCAATCGCGTGTTTGATTACATTATGGCGAACCACGCTAACGACACTCGAACGGCGTTGTACGATCCGATGCGAGCCATAGACTTGGTCTTTTCCTACACACTCTATCTCAAGAGCATTCAGTCCAAGGTCAATTCGCTGGCCAGCGAGAAATACAAGCCCGGGTTTCTGCGCAACGTAGTCATCCCGGCCCTCAAACACTTGATCTACAGAATGTATAAGGACCCAAACAACGTCCTGGGCGAATTCATGTACACAGTCAGGACCAGGGACGTGATAAAGCAGTACCCCGAGGCGTTGGGCGTGGAATTTGCTGGCGACGACATGCTTAGTAATTTGTACGACTTGGACGTGTACGACCTAGATGCCGTGGACAAGTACTTGTACGGCATTAGCGGCGGAATGTACTACGACGTTAAAACCAATACGTTTAAAAAGTACAACTCTGTGCTCGAGCGATACCAGTCCCAGATCTGGCAGGATTCCGTTCTAAAGTTTAAGCGACTCTTCGAAGAGTGGTGCAAGAAAGTCACGCGGCACTCTTCGTGGTCTAGCCAGCATCCAGCGTTCGATCCACTGCTCCGGGCCGTTTTCGATGCCGCGGGCACGCCGCAGTGGGACGCGGCGCTCGTTCGCTGGGTCGCCGCCGAGGAAGGTCAGACTCTTCGCATTTACGCCGAGTTGAAAGCCAAGGTTGAATATGCCCAGACCTTTATCGACGAAAAGTTTTCTCCGGAACTCTTGAAAGCCGTTGGCGAAATCGCAAAGATTGACAACGTCAAGCGGTTCGTCTTTCTCTCCGCACCTACGCTGTCGCCGACCGAGTTGCAGGCCATACTAGACGCGTTCGAAAAGATTTTGAAGAACTACACGGAGCACAAACATAGGGACGCGCTCGTCTGGGCGGTGACCCATCCGGCCGCGCACAAAGTCTGCGAAGAGGAAGAGACGAGGGACTTGTTTAACAAGATTAAATCTGACGAGTATTTGCAGGACGGTAGCGCCTTCATAACGTCACTATTGGCACATTACGCCAAGTTTCGGAGCCTAGAGGATCTCCTGAGAGAATTTGCTAGGGACCTCGGTGCCGTTCGCAAGGACGCCGTCTTGAGAAAGCGCTGGCTGGAGAACGACGAGGAGGACATTAGGAAGGCCTTGATCGACGTCGACTGGAAGGTGCTCTACGAAAAATTTGAGCGATTGAAACCGCACCTGAACGAGTTACGACGACTACTCCTCGCTGGCGTGGGCGATAGCGGCGACGTCGATGAAAAAATGGAAAAATTGGGACCTTACTATCCTTTAATCGCGAGGCACGGCAAATGTATGTTTGACGAGGCCGACGCCGCGTCTCTGTTTGCTCGCGCCACCTCCAAAGGTTTGTACGAGTGGAAAGTGCGTCTCAAGTCAAAGTTTCCCAAAGACGATTTCGATAGACTCTATCGGCTCGTACAGGAACGCCACAGAGACTACGGAAACATGAGAAAGTTTCTCGGTGACAGCGGCCTGCTTAGTGCCCCTCCGCTCGTGAAACTGCCTTCGAGCGTACCAAACCTAAAGACTTGGAACGACGCGATCCTGGCCACCATGAACGCTGCGCCCGAACTATGGATCGAAAAGATAATTAGCCAGTCGAAGTGTAACTTGCAGACGCTGCGCAAAAATGTTTCCGAACTCAAATCCCTAATGACTACGGAGCGCGAACGTAGAGATAAGATCCGCGAGTGGGGAATGAGCGGACCCATCGATAGATACCCGCAGACGCACGAAAAGGACCCAGTCGCCTTTGGCGAGTACGAAGGTTTCGACAAGGATTTGTTGGACAAAATCAAAGCCCCGCACGACATTGTAGCGACGGTGGAGTTTGATCGCATTCGAAAGGCGCACGAGAATTTCGAGCGGCACTCGGAGATTGTGAGGCGAGCTCGGTCGGCGGTCGCTACACTGATAGAGGCGAACAAGGAGTACGTGAAACACGTCGCGACGTGGGGCAAGCACCGCGCTTCCTTTTTTCCGTCCACCGAGGCGTCGCGCGAAAGCGTAAACAATCTCTTTTCGACGAGATCGGCAAATGGCGAAAACTATTGGGAGCTGCATCGAGACCTCGGGGTCGCGCAAATCACCGAGCTGTTGCACGCGGCGCGAACGGCGTACTGGAAGACCAAGCAGTTTAGTCTGGAAGCTCGAGTGAGGGTCTACCTGCGCAATCTCGTCGGCACCTTGCGCGTTTCGCAAAGCGCCGTCTCTTCCAAACTGTCTAGATTCAAGGTGTCGAGTCTGCTGAAGATGGTCGATGCGGAAGACGACGACGACTGGAAAATCGAATTTATCCGCTGGACCGTGGCGAACGAGGACGCCGACGTCGCTCGCA